ATTGCCACGATACTCACGATCCGGCATCGAATCCCGCTGTGAATGATAATGAGACCTCGGCGAGGTCATAACTGCAGTCCACTCGGAATGATATACTCTTTAAAGAGAGTCAAGGCTTAGTACGTAGCCGGTTCGAAATGGTACATGAATACCCCTAATTCAGAGATAAATGGCCGGAAATAAATATGGACTAAGCTCTTATTCCAGAATGAGTGATAATCTCGAAAACTACTTCTATCGAAAATACTTAAAGTAAGGCTTGAACAGACAGAAAGTAGGCTATAGAAGGGCGGCAAGTCTGGCTAGACGGTTCAATCCTTAAAGTGGTTGCATTGTCTTTATTTATGACCTCATTTTGTCTTGACCCTCTTGCTGACCCCTCCATAGCAGAATGGTGGTTGCATAAATTGACTGACAAATCATACCTACATGAAGAGGACTCGATCCTTAATGAAGACCTCTAGAGTGCTGATGTTGACGAATACTAGTTGCAGGCAGCAGAAAAAGAAAAGACCCATTCGATTCTGCAGGCCGGCCTCTAGCGACGCATCAAGCCGGAAGAAGACGATGCCCATAGAAAGAGCAAAGAAGACGTAGATTGCCAGCTGAGTTAGCAAGGAGTGATATTCTCTAAAGCAAAGGGGGCACAGAGAGATTTCAAGAGTGGGAATGTATTCGCAAAAGAATTATAATCAGCAGCATTTAGGCCATTGTCACGAATCTAAGAAATTGAAAAAGGCGAATGAATTAAAAATAATTCGATACTGTAGATTGCCCAATCGCGAAGTTCCTTAACTTTGCTCATCTCTTCGAAGGGCCAAAACTGGCTGGAGCCGACAATGTCACCGGCGAAACGAGTTTCTTTGTATACACAACGATTATAGCTTCAAGTGAACTATGAAAATAAGATTGCCAAGCAGTTCACTGCTTACAGCAAGACAAAGTAGACAATTCTAAGTCAATCATGTCATTAGAATTCTTTAAACTGTTGAAAGCTTTATGATATTGCTCCTGGCTTCTACAAGCTAATGAGGAAGTGACATTCGGAGACCGTTAATGAATCCTTTACCAATAATTCCATTCGGAAAGTAAACGAAAACCTGTCAGAATGAGAGGAGTAAACTCTTTACGTTTATAGAAAGCAACCGAACGTATGAAGACCAAGATGGTGTGGTCTTCGGTATGATTGCGGTCTTGTTTCGTTCGGTAGAAGTTGTTTGATCTTATTTTCGCAACTTGGTTGTATTGTCAGGGA